TCCCGCTCACTTGTTTGCTGGCTGTGGCGTGTATCGTGAGAGTAGTATTAAGCATCTTTGAGGTTCTCTAGATAGTACGTCATAGGGAAAAAACTTTGGAACGAAATTTTTTGGAAAGCGTTTGGGGGGAAGTCTGTTTGGAAAACTTTCAGAACCAGTAAGGAATTTTCGAAACTTAAGGCACTGCTGAAACCACAAGGGAGTTCTTGCATGTTTCTCTGTTTTGCTAGCACTTATTATAGATGAAATAGTTATTTTTTTAATTATAAGTTCAAGCTAAGGAAACTCAGTTAGGAAAACTGAATAGGAATAACAGTGCATTTTTTAAGAATAAATTATCAATGTGAAAATACAACTGTTCCCAAATACGCCTTTCTGGAGTGTCCCACCTGAGGGTTGCTGGTGTTTACGAGTGGATGCAGAAAAAAGATTGTAAATGCTGTCACTTAAACTGTTGTTCTTAGGCTTTAGTGACCTGTCTATAGCAGTTTATCTGAAGCATGTTCTTATATAGCTATCTAAATTAAGTACTGTAGAATTTAAAGTACTTAAATACAGGAAAATATTGTTAATATAGGAAAAGCATTATTTAAAAAACTTTATGCATGTAATAAAAAATAGCGATGTATTATACTTTTGAAGGTGGTGGTTGGAGATCAGGATGGTGTCATTACATGTTTTGGCATAAAAAAAGGAGAAGCTGTGGTAAGTGGAAATGTTCCATATAAAATTTTATTTTTTAAATATTCTTCCTAATGAACTTGGAAAGTCTGTTTTTATTGACATGGCAAGTAAGATACCTGGGGAAGGTATCTAGGTAGAGCTGTGGACTGGTACCGAGCCGTGATGAGAGCATGCTGATTTTGTGCCTGGACAAGGACATGGTGCTCTACAGTTGTAGAGTCAGACACTAGTGTCTGTCACCACAAGGAAGGTCAGTTTAACACCTTTTGCTTTGCAGTTCAGTTGGGCTTAAGCCTGTACACCTACTTGGTTACTGTGATGGACCAAAACCTGCAGTGATCCACTAAGTCGGTGACCTTAGGGGATTTTGATAAACTGACTGCTTTTTATGAGCCTAGACTTATGTCCAGCTTAATAAAAAATTATCTCCCCCCCCCTTGAGGAAGTTCATAGCCAGTTCTTAAGGACTTTGTAACAGTACAAAGAAATCTCTCTAGTCTTCTGGAATAAGAATGCAACATGTAAGAAGGAGTGTGTGTGTGTGTTTCTTTAAAAAAATGACCCACAAACAAAAAACTTACAGCTACTAGCAGTGCTGAAGTTTTCCTATGGATGAATAACACTGAAATAATAAAGTCTTAATTTATTACATTTTACAGCTTTTTATATTTATTGACTTATAAAATGCTTGATTGCTTTGTGATTCTGAAGAGAAAGGTAGAGATTATTTTAGTCTGCATATAATGCATAGTATCATTAGCTTTGCCGGAAATTGTGAAGCAAATTTATTATCCTTTATGTTAAAATATTACCATAAATACGATATTGTGATGATGAAAATTGGTTTTCTATTTACAGCCAGTGTTCAAGACACTGCCAGGCCAAAAAATTGCAAGGCTGGAGCTGGGAGGAGCTCTTAATACACCACAAGAGAAAATTTTTGTGGCTACAGGATCAGAAGTTAGAGGATTCACAAAAAGAGGGAAGCAGTTTCTTTCATTTGAAACTAACCTTACTGAAAGCATCAAAGCTATGTATGTATGATACTTGACATTTATTTCATAGCTGTAGCAGATTTTTAGTTTGTGATTTTATGAAATAATTTTTTACCGTATTGTGTGTTTGTAGGTAACACTAAGTGCCAGTCTGGCTTTAGCTTGTGTGGTGACGTGTAGGAAGGAACCTAGAAAATCGTAGTGAAGTTTAGAAAGTGTAGGGGGGCTTGGGAGGGGTCTGAAGGCGCTCAGAAATGGAGGTGAGCGGAGCTGGGGTTATTACCATAGCATATTGGGTCCGTATACCCTTCCTGTAGCAGAACAGGAGTAAATTTTTTATTTTTCTCTTTGGATCATGTTGTAAGATGCTGCCATATATAAACCAGTTTGAGAAGAATTAATACCATCAAAATATATTAATGAAATTTCTATAAAGATTTTCTTAGGATTTTACATGAACACAGAATAGAAAATTTGAGAGCTATAGAAATCATGTGGTTTTAGCATTCATAAGAAATTTTTTTTTTTAATAGCTGGAACAGCTTGCCGGGCCCACTCATGCCATGAATCTGCAAGCGGTAGTGCATACGTACAGTAGGGCTAAAAGACTATCACTGCAACTCTACGGGGAAAATGCTATAGGAAGTGTTTTCTTTTTCTCAGGCATATTTCAGGAGCAGATCTCTTTCTTTGTGCAAGCTATATCTACAACCATTACTGTGACTGCAAAGACCAGCACTACTACTTATCAGGAGATAAAATCAATGATGTTCTCTGCCTTCCTGTAGATAAAGTGAATTGCATTACACCGGTACTTGCATGTCAGGATAGAGTCCTCAGAGTTTTACAGGTTAAAATACTTGCTTGTTTATGTTTTGTGTATTGATGCCATAGAATTGGAGTAATTCTTAAGGGAATCAGCATATCAACATGGCTTAAACATCGTAAGAATAAGCATATTGTATTTTACTTGGCAGTGTTACTGTCTATAATGCTGGTACTTTTTTTTTTTTAAGGAAAGTCATTATTATAAACTTGCAATATGAGGATTAATAAAAGCACTATAAATAGACTTTGGAATTCATAGGTGGAAGTAGATAACAAATTGATTCCTTCTAACTAAAAGTGCTCACATAAGGGAATTAAATGTGTAAGTCTTTATCAGTTTGGAAATCCTTGCTCTCACAAATTACTTTTGTGACAAGTCTGAGTGATATTAAGTGGTTTAACAAATTTATTTGCCAGACAGATTCACAAATTATTTTTAATAATAAGACATTTCAAGAGACCTATGTTTTATTTGTATAAACTTCACCCTGTTTTGGCTTAGAAATGGTTCTCCCATATGTATTGGGAATTTGTATAAGTAAAGTGTATCCGTTACTATTATCCATAATCATTTTGTCCTTATGCTTGTGGGGTTTTGGTTTGGTTTGTGGTTGGTGTTTTGGGGGTTTGTTTTGGTTGCTGTGGTTTTTGTTGTTGTTTTTACAAAACTCATTCAAAATAGTTCTTTTTGTCTTTAGGGATCTGATTTACTGTATGAAGTAGAAGTTCCTGGACCACCTACTGTTCTTGCTCTAAATAATGGAAATGGGGGTAACAAGATTTTGAATATACACATAGTGAAATAATATTATTTTACTATATTTTTAAGATTTTATTGCTTGTATTTGTTAATTACATTTTGCCTTGATTTTTAAGCTGATGTTAAAAATACAGCAGAAAACTGACTATGTGAAGTAATTTCTTGCATACAAATAAGCTTTTAAACTGATGTTAAAAATAAAGCAGAAAACTGACCATGTGAAGTAATTTCTTGCATACAAATAAGTGTATACACACACACCCCCCTGTTTTAGACCGTTTTAAATTATATTCACATTCAGTTGAAAGCCTCTGACAAGAGCAGTGAGATATAAGGTAGTCTCGGTGTGTAAATACAAACTGGGCTTTTGGGGGCTTTGTCGAAGTTCTTGCTTCAGGTTTCTCTTACACATGGATTTCCCTAAATAGAACCGCTGGTTGCGTCCATGAATGGATGAGAATATTGAGTAGAGCTCACACAAACGAAGACTCTGGAAGGATCAGGCTTAAAATAGTTTGATCATCCTTCTTGCTAATCTTTTCTAACCTAATAGAAATCGCCTTAGTCTGTTAATCTGGTGCTTAATTTAGTTTCAGTTAGATTGTGTGACAATGACATTCAGATCTGGTTTGGAAAAGTAGTTCTTACTTGCTGAAGTCTTGGCACAGCATTCAGTATTAGATACGTGTTCTGAATGAATCTCTTGTTTCTCTTCTATAAAGGGAATTTAATAGCCTATCTTTGCTGAAATTTGAAGTATTGGATTATGAGTGGGTTTTAGGCAGAACTCCAGTGCAGGGGGGCATTCATACACAGAAGAGTGATAGCCATGAAGAAATGATCAGAACAGGTGCAGTTCTCATGTATTTGTTTTTGTTTTTAAAGCCTGACAGTTCCATTACACAACACTAATGTTAGTATTTTCTTTTTCCCTTGGACTGTAGAGTGTAACTAGACAATACTTTCAAATTTTTTAATTGGTATACTTGATTTTATCGATTCTAAATTCAGTTTATGTGTTTAGGTGATTCTGGAGAAGAAATTGTGTATGGAACTTCTGATGGTAAACTGGGTCTTACCCGGATTACTGGTTCCAAGCCTATACCTAAGTGGGAAATCGGAAATGAAAAAAAGAGAGGAGGTACGTGTCTCAGTCTCTCACTCTTTAGCTTTCCAGCATATCTGAGGCTTTATTACAAGTATAATAATTAGGAAATCTTATTGATAGATACTTTGGAGGCATATTGTAATTATGTCAGTACACGATAGTAATAAGAGTAAGCTTTCTCATTCTTCTGATTTTCTTACAAATAATTCTTATCAGTTTGTCTTGCTTTTGGTTTGCTCTTCATATAATTTCCAGTACTTTACTATACTTTTGTTTTTACAGTATTTTTAAAGTGACATTTGTAAAACAGTGTTGATTAATACACGATGACTTGGAAGTTTTTATCATTTTGGTGACTATTTTCAAGTGCAGATATACTTGCCAGATTTTTGCAGATGTTCAGTGGTCTTAAGTCTCTTCAGAGGAAAGGTTAGCATCTTCCCTGCAGGATTTTTTTTTTCTTCTTCTTTTTTTTAAGAAAGCCGTTATAAGGGTTTTTGAAGATGCATGGCTTTCGTTAAAGCTGCACAATGAGGCTTAACTGATCAGAGCATAGTATGACACCTTCCCTGTTTTAGCAGTGGTATGCTGCTTCCGCAGCATCTATTAGCCCATACTCCTTTGTAAAGGAGAAGACCAGGAATAGAATATATTTTTAATTTAATTATCAAGCAATCACTAAATTATTTTCTTAAAACACTTCCTAGTATGACCTTACTCTTCACATGAAGTGTGAAGGAGTTATAAAAGTTAAATTCTATCTCATTTTTCATATTTATTCTTGCACAAACTCTCTCACTGCTTTTTCCTTCTTCTAGACACTAACTTTCTTTCCTGTCCAAACATGGTTAGTTGTCATGGGCTGGTTCCACATGTGCTGGTAATGGGTTTTTCCGCTAACATGTCAAGTAGCAGTACCTAGGCCAGGTCTGGCAGAAGTCAGAACCCTCTTTCTGTCACCTTAGCCAGAATTCATAGCAGTCCGTTTACCAGTAGCTTTAAGTGAATTGTAAGAAACAAAGAATGCTTGCTTCTTCAGCTGGCAAAGTTACAGTAGTGTGGACAGACAAATAGTTCATGGGGGGAAATGTTTGACGAGGGAGGGTGAAAGCCCTCAAAAGTAAGCTATTTGGGCATCAGAAGGGGTCTCTGTTCAGTGCTTTTCACCAGGGGAGCTGCGGTGATTTTGACTTGGCATTGGTTGCTGTAAAATCCACTGTACAATCCTGAACCTCAGCACAGGTGAGAGACTTCAGCCCTCTAGTGTACTCATCCAGAAGTAGCATCAACAAACCCTTTAAAAGCTGGCCAAGAGCCTGTCTGTGTAACTGAACGTGGCCTGTGTATTATTGTGTCATAAGAGAATAAAGATGAAGTAAACTGTTTTGTTTTCCTTTTCATTAGGTATCTTATGTATTGATAGTTTTGATATTCTGGGAGATGGAGTTAAAGAGTTACTTGTTGGACGAGATGACGGAGTGCTGGAAATCTATAACTTTGAGAGTGCAGATGATCCTGTCCTTCGATATGATCATGTAAGCCCACATTCATCATAGTCTTCTTTACTGGAAAAATGAATTTAAAAAAAAAAAATCTGTATTTAAAAACTTAAAAGTATTTACAAGATCATTGTTACTGAAATGTGTGTTTTGTTTTCAATTTGATGAGCTCTGTCATGTTGACAATATGAACTTCAAAGCAGTATCCTAATATTTAAGAACCAGAAAGTGAAATGGTCCTGAGTTGAGCAAAAATCAAAATAGCGTAGAGGGTTTGTTAAAGTTCTGGCTCTGTTGGCCACTGAAGTCTCTCGTGGGTGAAACCTACTGCAGTGCTTCTCTGTCAGTGAAAAAAACAACCCCGTGTTGTGTATAGTCTGTGCTTTACATGTAAAATAATAAAAGTAAGCTGTCAGGACTTGGCATAATTAATTTGGTTATGAATTACTTAAAATAACAAGATCTGATCCATAGTGATTATTTCAGCCTTCAGTCAGATTGCTAATTACTGCTGGAAAAATGTTGTCCATCACTGTTTTACTTTAAACTGCTTTTTAATGTCTTTGTTATGCAGATAGTCATCAGCTGGCTGACTGTTTTGTAGGTCTAGATATTGTGCATCTATGTAGGTATTTTGTGATGCAGGTAGAAGAACGAGTGCAACCTTAACCCCCCCCCCCCCCCCCCA